GAGACCGGGGAGTCTGGGTCCTCCGGAGGACCCGGCCTGTCGTTTTGGACACAGCCTATATTGCCTTATATGTATTAGCTCAGTGCTAGCGCGACAAACAAGCTAAACTGAGGTCCTGAGTCATTCCTACCTTCTCCTCTCTGTCAACGCTCTCCAGTTTCATTTAAAAGAGTCGATCATCAGATATTGTCCAAGATTAACATTCAGGGTGGATATAGCTCGCTCACACCGAGGACCTATCCACGTCATCATTTACCCAGAATGCTTTGCGTGTAAATAAAATGGCCCCATCTGTGTAATATATTTTAAAAAAATTTGTGCAAAAATTATAAAAACTGAACAGCCTACAGTATTTGTACAGTCTTTATTTTACAGTTAAAATAAATGTTTATCAAATAAAGTCTAATGTTACAAATAATTGTGGATCCCTTTAAAAAAACAGACATTTTTAAATATAAGGTTAGTAAAAAGGCAGAACATATGTGAGCAGTGCATTCTTGTGTTAAACAGGTTTCTGTTGTCTGTCTAGTTGAAATGTCCAGTCTAAAGCACAAAAACACAAGCAGTTGAGAGACCGAGTTAACTTTAAAAACGTGTCCAAATAGAGAAAATAAACAACACCTTTGCTGTGTCTGTAACAAAGTTCAGCTGCTCCTCCGGCGTCAGGTCCAGGGGGTACGACACGTTCAGGTAGTCTGTGTTGTCAAACATGCTCTGGTAGTATCTGCACTCAGAACGGAGAAAATAAATAATCATTGTTTACCGGAACTGAACTACACGGCGGTACGGTTACCATGTGTTGAAACAGCTTTAAATGCTTTTAATAAAACCTGTTGGTGAAGCTGGMTCGGTGGTTCTCAATAACAACACCGGGGATGGGCCGGGCCAGCAGGAACCGCTGGAAGGATGAAGGAGGAAGCGGCTGGGTGACGCCGGGCTCCTCCACGGAGAAGTCTAAGCCTTTGGCAGCTGAGTTCAAAGTGTTGACGATCTTCTTCACCTGCAGCGGACCACGTAAAAGAACATTTAATTATTAAATTGAAGAAATTTATAGTTAGTACTGATTAAATACAACAAAATCACAAACAGCACCGCACACTGTGAGCTTTACGTTTTTACAGCTGCTTCTTTTATTGAACTGAAGGACTAAAACGGATTGTTAGCAACTTTAAAAGCAAACTAGAAAYGCAAACTAAAGCAATAAATACATCAGGGTAAAGAAAACAATGTGGTGTTTTATATTTAAACTGGTAAACCTCTTCATTGACGCTGCTGTTCTTCCTGGACACAGGGTCWGAGTGAAGCCAGAGCTTTGAGTCACCGTGAAGACCCACCTGGAACGAGAACATTTATTGCATTTGTTTTCTCCTTTCACTCCACGCCGTTCTTCTTTTTTTATTTTTAACATATATAACAAGTTAAAACAAGTTTGGCAAATATAAATGTTTCTTTAACACTGAACAGGTTTAGCTGATTCATCATTTTAGTCAAACGTGCCCAGCCTACCTGTCCGACCTCCAGGACTGAGTGAACGTTGTCCAGGTCCACAACAAACTGGTTTTTCTCCATGTCGTAMACCATCTTTGAACTGCCAATGTAGTCAAATGTTTCCTGTTGTTAAAAAGGAAAAAAAAGGTATAAAAACTTTTAAAGGCAATCTTAATTACACCAGGCGAGTTTTGTTTGTCAGAGATAATCTGACCCCGTGGAAGAAAGTGTAGAGGATGGTTCTGTTCAGCTGATTATCCTGCGTGACGTTCCGCAGTGCGTTGGCAGCTGCCAGCAGAGTGACCAGACCAGAGGCGGTGCTCTCCGCGCCGGGAGCCAGATCAAAGAAAAACGAGCGGCTATCGAGCTGCAGGGTAGAAAAGAAGAGAAAACTGGCTCATTTCCTCAACGTTTCAATAAAAACAAGGCTGGAAATGTTTAATTCACAATCACTTTATGATCATCTGTGCACCGAAGGAGCTCAACTCACAAGTTTTAGAAACCTTTAAATTATTCTTTTATCAGGAAATGCATAACATTTAAATTATTATTCAGAAGTAACTAACAATCTCAGTTAATTATGGTTGTGAAAACTTTAACCCTGGAAAGACTATCGTAGACTGTTTTTTACTGAAGACTGAGAACAAATTAGACTGATTATTTAACTACAGAGCCATTTTAAGCATTTATGAGTTAAATAAGCAGGAAATCTATGAAATCTTGTGTTTTTATGCACGTTTTCACTTCTGGAAGACTAAATRTTGCTTTTATACATTTTAAATAGAGCAAATAAAGAAAACAGGGGCGGATCAGTATTTTTGCAGAGCTGTAACTGCAGCACAGCTTTTAGTCATATGACTGCTTCTTTCTGACTCACATGAGCCTCAGCCCTGTTAACAACTAGCACGTGTTCTCCTCCTGTAGGTATTATCAGTGGATATTTTTCTGTCCAGTTTTTCTTAAACTTATATATAAAAAAACAGAAACTCACTCTGGCTGCTGCGATGATCACAGTCTCTCCTGCTTTGTGGCCCTTGACCGTGTTGTTCAGAGGATTGGTGGTGGCCCAAATGTTAAAGTCACCCAGAGGGTCACACACCTCTTCTAACAGGAGAAGCAGGAAGCAAACATGACATCACTTCAATTGTAATTTTTAAAAAATATCTTAAAGAAACAGCACGAACCCTGAGTCCTGAGGGACTGATGAAAAAAATGAACTTTTAACAGAATTGTTTGGAGTTTAAACAAGCAAAACATACAATAAAATGAAAAAAAAAAACTGTAGCTAAAAGCAAAAATAAGCAAACCTGTTGCTAAAAGCCTAAATTAGCCAAACTGTACATAAAAGTTAAAGTAAAAAAAACAGTAATTAAAGCTAAAGATGGCTAAACTGCAGCTATATGCCAACATTTGCTACTAGAAACCACAAGGTCAAATTTAAAATAGTAGCTAAAAGCTAAAATTTGCAAAACTTTAAAACCTTAAACAATACTGTTGCTAAAAAGAAAAAAAAATCAAACCATATATAAAAGCTAAAGTAAAAAAAAAAAAACAGTAATGCAAAGCTAAAAATGGCTAAATTGTAGCTATATGCTAACATTTGCCAACATAAACTATATGGTCAAATTTGTAAAACAGTATCTAAAAACTAGAATGTGCAAAATTGCTGCTAAAAGAAAAAAAACTGTAAAAGCTGAAGTAATAAAAACATTAGCTAAAAAATGCCTAGATTGTAGCTAAATGCTAACATTAGCAAATAATAACAGGTCAAATATTTAAAACAATAGTCAAGCAAAAATGAGCTAGACCTTAGCTAAAAGCTAAAATCTGCAGAGCAGTAGCTAAAAGTAGCACAGTAAGACAAAAATAGAGAAAATAATCTAAAGCAGACGTCAAAGAACAATGTTTTTGAAGGAGCTGAAGAGTTAATATATTTCTATCTTTTAAAAAATAAATAAAAAATAACCAAGAAATAAATAAGTTACAAAAACCAAAACTCACAGCACACTGTTCCCGAGTGAGCTGAACGATTTGATACATGAATTTTTAAAATAGCACCAAGTACGTGGAACTACTTTGAAAAAGTATAAAAAAAACTGAGGGAAACAAATGCATGAAAGTAGTTTTCACTCAGGACGTTTTACTTTCCACTGGTTTGAGCTGTTTTAACAGCCAAAAACTAGAACTAAACAAATAAATAAACCAAGCAGAGTTTGAGTTTCTAAAACACAGACTCAACGCTCATAAAGCAGCTGTTTGGTTTTTTTCTCTCGGGTTGTGTAAACACCTGGGTTCAGGCTGAAGCTGAGGCTACCTCTCCTCATGCAGGTGACCGTGTCGGTGACAGCAGACATGTGGGAGAACAGCTGCATGGAGCACAGCGGGTACTGAGGGCYGCTGCCATTCACCGGCCGGTTGTGGTCCATGTAGCACTGTCAACAAAGAACAGCACGTCAAATGTCACCTGTGTGGGTTTACATAAACGCACACCTTGATTCCTTCAGCATCTTAAATAGTTTCCAGTATTTGGAACAAGTTGAAGCAGATGCAGCTGAGCCCGGTGGTCTCGTTCTGARGCGTGCTTTAAAGCAGTAAAATTTAACTACTGTGTTCAATACGAAGCTTTTACCTCATAGAGTAGCTGCCATGGAGGATTAAAACTAGAAATGGTTCTGTTCATTTACCCAACTCTTTGCTTAAACACGTGCAAATAAACCCTTAAAAGTAGCAAAAATWTGTCAGAAAACACAGTTAACTATATCAGTGACATGACACTGAAAGATGAAATAAAACAGAACTGAAAGCCACATTTCACGCTTCAGCTTTGAGCTGTTTTCAAAACACAGCTTGTGTCATTTTGTTTTTCACAAAGATAAAAAAATAAAGTAAACAATCTGTAAATAATATTCCACATCATAACCTACATGGGGTTTTTTATAGTGCTGCTTTTGTCTATTAGCAAAAAAAAAAACAACAACAACAAAAAAAAGACTACCAAAGGACTAATTTTTTTAATGGGATTAAAAGATCAAATTATYGTTTACCTGTCGTATAACCTGCGTGTCGTTGTCGTCCTTTAGAGAAAAGATGGGGAAGTCRAACTCCTCGTAGGACAAACTGTTGCCCAGAGGGTTCCACAGCGTCACGTTACAGTGGGCCATGGTCGGGTCGTAGTCCTCTGAATACACACCTAATGACAAGAAGAACATCAGTGAAAAGAATTTTCATGAGGCGCAGACAGAATCCAAATGTTTCTTAAACACTGGGTTAATAATAGGAAGCTAAAAGCATAAATGTGTATTTTTTGTCTATATTAAACTTTTCCAACATTACAAACCACACTTATTGCAATCATAAGGTAAACATTCCCTTTACATTAAATTGATGCTTACATGCTAAAATATTAACATTCTGGGAGCGGTTTGGCATTAAAATAGGTATTATATAGCTATTGTACCTGTGTTCTCGTTGGGACAGGTGTTGTGCGGAGAGAAGCCGCCTGGCAGATTAGTGTTCGGTGCGATAACAACAACTCCAGCCACTCTGTTGGAACCGTTCTTCAGCTTCATCATGATGGATCTGAGGCACGGACAGGTAACGAGGGACAGAGGAAACGATTCAGGTAAAACAACAAATCGTTCACTTTTCGAAGCAGATGTAGGATGTGTCAAAACTACTGAGTGATCAGATAAAATTGCTTCCATTTTGTGAGACAGATTAGCGAAACCTTGTAAATAACGCGGACTCCAGGATGACGATGTAGGGAGGGTTGGGACCGGTTTGCAGCACCCAGTCCAGGTTTTCCTCCGACTCGAGCAAATGGAGCACTCCCACATCGCCTGACAAAGACGCTGGAATCCAAAAAAATGACACAAAATTAAATATCTGTGCTTCTACTGCAACAGCATCCAACCACAAAGGGAAAAACTACATTTATTCAAACGTTTAAAAACACTGAACAGTTCAACAAGTTCCTGCCCGTAGCAAAACTCCACCATTTATCTTAATCACAAAACACACGGCGTGTCACATGACACACTGAGGCACGGCACAGCAGCACACACTCCTCACAACTCAAACTGTGTTGGCTCGAAACAAAAAGTTCCCCTTTGTAGTCGTCCATTTTAACCACTTGAAAGAACAAATAACGGATCTATTGTGAAGATAAATGTGTTGCAATACTCACACTGGCAGCCTATTTGATGAGTTGCATTAAGCAATCGCACACACGGAGAACTGTGATTCAGGTTCACATAAATCTTGTCTTCCACTGAGTTGCAACCGACTCCTGCAAAAAAATCAAATAAATAAATAAATAAACAAATAAACAAAGTTGTATAAAAGGATAATTTWAAAAAACTGCATCATTTTACCATTTAATAGGAGAAAACTCAGATTTCTAACAGGGTTGGGTAAAATAGTGTTGTGTGCATTTCGTCAGAAAAACTGTCAACAATATTTGCCACTTTGCAATGACAGCAATTAGTGCGACATGATCAGGCGTGCATGTGAGCCCGATGGTGGGAGGCAACGCACAGCAACTAACCCTAACCCTACGAACTTGTTGAATCACCTGAAACACTGACATAAACTGGAGTAAGAGGAAAGCCAGAAAAGGCAGACCAAAGCCACAACGTCGGATACAAGACCAATTGTCGTCCGTTAATCGTCTTATTGATCATTATCGGCTAAATGCCACAACTAATCGTGATGCAGTTTTTTGTCTGCATTGCCCAACCCTAATTTTCAACACAATAATTACAGAGTAGCTCTTTCTCCAAGACTTCACAATCATTTTATTTTCAGCTTTTTCCCTGCAAAACATTTAAGGTAAACATAGAAGAACCCTAGAAGATGCTGCACCCTTATCACCTTAATGTAGGAGACAAAAATGCTTCATTATGAAGACCTGAACAAAAACAAGACAGTTCCTCAGAACATTCAATGCCTGGCCACTTTTCCAAACAATAAATCTTATTATAAACCTCCATTTTATCACCAGCTAAGCAATAATTAATTATTATCAAAATAAAAATTAAAAGGGACTTTTGAGTCATTTATGCATTCCAGTTTTTTATATTTTGAATCATACAAAGTTAGTCCAAGTTATGTAAACACTCTGCTCTGGCTTTAATAAATGTTGTACAAAGGCAAGTTTCAATCAAATCAAACTGCAATGACAGATCAATCATCGTAAATTGTCAGCATCAATGAGAAACCTGTTGAAATCTCATTTGATCCTGCAACCCAACACACAATATCTGAATCTAAAAACAATGTTAGGGAACAGATAAAAGTTCAGTTAATAAGACTCTGGACGAAAAAAGAAAGTGAAAGGAGTTCAGGCTCACACATAATAATCCAAGATGTTTGACGCAACAATATAAGTGCACCAATGAGATTCTGGGTGGGTTAAAAGCCAAATAAATAAATAAATACACACAATGATAACAGCAGACAAACTGGGGAATCTGTAATGAGTAGAAATGAATTACTAGAACTCTGAACAGAGTATGGATTAGAGAGAGTTAAATAAACATAGCTGTTTACTTTTATTAGGTTATTGTTCGAGCCTTAATAAACAAATGAGCACCGGTAGTAAAGTTTGTCATTGTTTATTTTACTAGATTGTGTAAACCTAAAAGGTCTAAAAGTGACATTGCTCGTGTACGCAATTTGTGTGGCAGTGGCATTACATCAAACCACAAACATTAGCTTTATTTTATTATGGTTATGGAAACAAATCCCTGACGTTTCGGGTGGTTGCCTCAGGGAAATCACGAGCAGTCATGCTGAAGCCGAGTAACTCTTCTGAAGACCTAAGAAAAGTAAACCTACCGATGCTTATAGACGGATATGTGAACATTTTAGGTTTTACATTAATGGGAATGTATAAAAATATAGTCCAGCCTTGAACGTCGTTGTTAAACTAGTAAAAAGGAGAAAATCCAGGTTATAGGCAATCAGGAAAGCTGCTGTGTTAGCGCTAACTAGCCTAGCATCCGGCTAACCCGGGTACAAAGAAGTCCTTCAAGATGAATCCCGGAAGACAAACGCGCTTCCATCGGCGGTACATATGTTGGAACACAAGCTCAGCGGTGTATAAATTCAACTTACCGGCGAAAAACAGACAAAACAATAAGTTAATGATCCATTTGCTCGACAGCAAATCCATCTTCCTGGTTTGAAAAAGCGGAAACAAAAAACAACAGGAAGTTGACATCCGGGAAACATTTGTTCCGCTGTTTGGTTCCGCCTCACAAAATGGGATTTAAAGCTCCAAAGTCTATCAGAGGCCATTTAGGGCATATTTTATTCTTGAGCTTGTAATCACTATCATCATGAAATCTTCTATGATTAGGTTTGTTTATTTATTTATTAAGTATATATTTATTTATTACATAATTTAAGATAAACTAAAAAGAAGTAAAAAGGAAAAAAAATTGTATAGGTCCTCTGGACGGGTTCTTCTTTAATGAAACGTTTCGTCTCTCYTCCAAGAGACTTCTTCAGTCTGAGAGTTTCAGGCTGAAAAGAAGTAAAAAGAAGTAGAGTGGTTTAAAATATCCTGGTTATGTCAACTTTTAGTGCTACCCAAGAAGGGAGTGAACCTTTCAAACTTTATATCCAGGATGTCTATTTTGTGGTAATCCATCAATAATCCAGTTTCACACAATTGTTATATAAAACCATGCTCCCACTACTTTAAATTTACTACCAAGTTACCACATTAAACACAATACCACATCAAGGAAAACAACAGAAAGATGCAAACTGGACTTTTTATTATAGTTTTTCCAGATACAAGTAGCATTGCCGTACATTTTAACTTTTTTTCTACTCACACAAAGTCAACACAGAGTGTTACTACAGCAGCAGTTGCAGAAAAAGCTTACTGTATGATAAATTTGAAGTTTAAGGAACAAACTTAAAAGGACAGAAGAGGTTAACATCACTGTGAAACAAATATAACTCAGCTTCCCATTTTCATGTCATCTTTTAAAGTGTGGCTTTAAAGGATGTGTTCTGCAGATCATTTTCTTGTCTTCTTAGCGGAACTGGAGTGGACTCACACGCAGACCGATCACATCCTTACCGATCTCTGTCACCTAGAAAAAGGAGGTGAAAATAAAAATTAGATTTTAAAAGAAAAGCAACAAGTACAACTGAAGCCTCTATTACATTTGGCTCACATTTTATCTTCTTAAAACCCTTTTTTTTCTTAACCCCAGTGTGGCTCAGTGTCATACAAGGTCTGTTTTACTAATTTGAGGACTTTGTGTTTATATCTACCTGTGTGACCCTGCAGATCTGGCCTTTGTAAGGAGGGCAGTAGCAGGCTCCAGACAGTGGGCACTTCTCCACAGGACGTCCGCGGTACAGGGGGACAAAAGAGGCGGCGCACAGATCAAACGGATTGTGGGGGTCATAGTTCAGCTGGTGGGTGTCTGTCAGGGTCTTCTCGCAAGCTGCCAAAATTTTGCGAGTCTAAACCATGAGAGAGTTGATCAAAATTAGAACATGATGATTATCACACTCAAACGATAAAAAACTAACGAAAACAAACCTGCTGGGCGACGTCTGGTTTCGGGCCGAGCTCGAGGAGGCGTCGAGCAAACCCTGCAGCCGTTTTGAAGTTGCGAAGCTTGAAGAAGAGGTTGAGGGCCGTGCGCAACACCAGCACCATGTGGACCGGCTGGAGATTACAGTGGGTGAAATAAGCAGCCATCTGCAAAGAAAACACATAAGATTTGTTTGAGTGACAAGAAACGGACACATTTAGTTCACACACAGGTCATGTATTTACCTCACAAATCCTCTTCTGTTGTTCCAACGTTTCTTTGGGCAATTTCTTCCTCTCAATCTCCATGGTCAGACCCACTATGTACTCCTTGCATATAGTGAGGAGCTGCTGAGCCTGAAAAAACACCCAACAAAATATATTTATATGGAAATGCACCTCAACAACGGTCCCTATAATCATAGTTTATAGCAGGGCTTCTTAACCTTTTTGACCTCGGGGCCTAATTTGTTGAACATAAAGTGGCACGAGGCCCAGTCAGACATTAATAATGT